CTTCAAAACTTTTAAGTGTAAACTAAAAGGTTTTTTTAGATCTATGATTCATTCAATTTTTCTTTTTTTAACTGACTCAGACATCAACTTCTTCCCGAGTAGTTTTAATTAGTGAGGTTTTATGGGAAAGAAAGGCAAAGCCTTAAAAAAAAATCTTCCGCTTAATTGTTCTCTAGTACTCATACCAATCATAACAAATGTCTGGGTATCCAGTTACCAGAAAGGTAGAGCAGGGCAACATTTACAGAGATCTGTGTAGTATGGGAATGTTTTCTTTGTGATAGCCAAGTAACTGCTGCTGTGGTCAAAGTGAAGGCTAGCCTGTCTCCTAGAAGAGAAAGTGAAGAGGTTCAGGGAAGTAATATGTCCCTTAATATAAAAACAAAACAGAAAAAAGATCTGAAGAGGGAGAAGGCAATGTTGACCTTTGTGAGGGAATGAGAGGACAGAAGAATGAAATAGAGGAGAAAGGGAATAATAATAATATTGATAATAATAGCTAACATTTATAAAATGCTTTAAAGATAGCAAAGTGCCATACATAGATTATCTCACTGATTCTCACAACAATCCTGTAGGGTAGGTGCTATTATTATTCTCATTTTACAAATGAAGAAACTGAAGCTGAGGCAGGTTCATTGACTTAGGGTCACACAGCTAAAAAAGGATTTGTGAGGCAGAATTTGAACTGGTCATTTCAAAGTATTAGATAAGTCTCTCTTCCAGGGGAGGAGGAAGCTGGACTCTCTCAGGAGTAAGCAGCTGCTTGTCCTCTAAGGAATGATGATGTGGATCTGATTGAAAGGTGTTGTCAACAGAGAGGTCACCAGTTAAGGGTTAGAGTAGAAAGGGATAATGACCCTGCAGAGACACATGGAGGCAGGAGATTGACCTGACATTAACAATTGAGGTCTGCTGTCTTGTATCCAACATGTATCAGAATCTCCCAAGACTTGTCCAACTGAATGACTACTCTCCACTTGTGAGTAGTCATGAAATCACAAATGATAATGCCCAAAGAAATCTACAGAGTATTTCTAAGGATTATGAAATATTGGGTAAGAAACTGGTTCTTAGATTTGTAGAAGTAGAATGAGTTCTAGAAACTTCAAGTTGGAAAGAAATTTGGGGGTCATATAGTCCATCCTCCAATAGGGTAAGGATTATTGGGGTCACAGGAAAGGAGCATTATAATAAATATGACTACTCTACTAACTCAGTAGTACTGTTAATGTTTAATTCCTATAATTGCCATGGTTTACAAACATATCATTCATAACTAATACTATTTAGTGCACATCTGTGGGGAAAGTCAGCCCAGGAAGGTTTGGAAACCATGCAAAAAAGGAATTCTGATGAGGAGGGGGAAAATTGTAATGATGGAGATCAGGAGTTCTTCATTTTTCTTATATCACAGACCCATTTGGCAGTCGGTTGAAGCCTGTGAGATCCCTTTTCAGAATCATGTTTTCAAATATGCAAAATAAAATATATAAGTTTATAAGAGAAAGCAATTAAATTTAAATGTTATTAAAACATTTTTTTAAAATAGGTTTATGAATCTCAGAGTAAGAACCCCTGACCTAAAGAGGCAGGGAAATCATGTCAACTTTCTTTTTTTAATACGTGCTCAGAAGATTTTAAGAAAGAGGAAGAAAGAACGTCTACAAGTATGGTATTTTCCTATAAGAATGATGTCAGGTGTATTAAAGTTCAGAATTTCTAGCTAGGAATGTGGAAGACAAACAAGGGGGGAGGGGAGAATTTTTGTTACGTTAGGGAAAAAGAAGAAAATTTCAAAAGGCATAGAAATATGCCTCTGAATAGTTGGGATGCTGATAATGGACAAAAGTGAGAATTTCATTTGTTTTTTGCTCCTGCCAAGGAAAATTATCTTTGTACTGGAAAGAACAGAAATGCCTAATAAGGAATTGAGACTGAAGGAAAGAGCGGAGAGATAATAAGGAAGCATCCAACTGCCCCTGATGAATTCCTATCACCAGGCTCAATGAATTATGTCCTAGGGCACAGAAATAATTAATGCAGGGTTTCTTAATTTTTCTTTTGTTGTGGACTCCTTTGACATTCTAGTTAAACCTATGGACCACCTTTCAGAATAATGGATCTTTAAAATTATAAATTGAAGGAAATGTTAAATTTCAATTAGAGGTTAGTGAAAATAAAAATGTCATTTTTCTGGACTCCCTTGAAATCTATGCATATCAAATTAAGAACCCCCTAACTAATGAACAAGATGGCGATCTTAAACAAGATGTGATCTTAAAAAAAACAAATGTGGAAGGATGGGAGAGACAGCTGTAGGAGTAGAGCAGAGAAAACATCTTAACTCATAAAAAAAAAAGGAGGTGAAATCGGAAAACTGTAGGCTGGTGAACTTGACTTTTGTTCTGGACAAAATTCTTATACCTATTAATTATGAAAAAAGTACTTGAATATGTCTAGAAAAGGAAGCAATCACAAAGAGAGGTAGCATGTATGGCTTCAATGAGAACTGGTCTTTTGTGTAGTTTTCTAAATTAATTTTTTTTTCACTTAGTATGTATTTACTTTCTCTTTTCACTGAAGAAAGAAAAACAAAATCCTGTAACAAATACACAGAATCAAGCAAATTGCCATATTGGCCACACCCCAAAATGCATCTCATTCTACATATTTAATACTTTACTTCTCTATCTTTATCATTGGTCCTCTGGAATCAAGGTTGATCACTGCACTGATCTTAAGTTTTTTCAAAGTTGTTTTCTCTGCCTAAACATTCCTTTCTCAATAATATTCTATCCATTCTTTTATCATAATTTGTTCAGCCATTGCCCAGTTGATGGGCACCCCCTTAGTTTCCAGTTCTTTGCAACCACAAAAAGAGCTGCTATAAATATTTTTGCATGTATGGGCCCTTTTCTTTTTCCTTTCATCTCTTCGGTGTCTAGGCCTAATAGTGGTATATTGCTGTATTGTAGTGTAGTAACTTTTGGGGCATGGTTCCAAATTTCTTTCTTTTTAAAAACTCTTATTTATTTTTCTTAATTACACGTAAACCCTGAATTTCTTTCCAGAATAGCTGGAACAATTCACAGTTCTACCAATAGTGCATTAATGTATTTCTTTTCCCTCAGTTCTTTACTATTACTTCATCACCTGTGTATTATCTAGTACTTTACCTTATTTTGAAATGTCCAACGCAGAGCCTTACAAAGTCATCCAGTCAATAGGTCCAAAACCAATATATTCTTTGAGGTTTGCTTCCCATCTATAAGCATCAGTTCTACAATAACCAGATTGCTATGTATAGTGCACAGGGACAGTTTCATAATATCACTTCAGAAATGACCAGCAGAATTTCAGGCATATCACTATAGCATCATTTAATCAACTACTCTAGATTATAAGAGTTTTATTAGGAAATTTTGATGTAAAATTATGACAACAAAAAAAAAGAAAGAAAGAAAATTAAAAGTTTTCTATGAATCCTTGCAATGCTAGACTAGATGATCTTGGTTTGACGCAAAACTCTAATCAGGCTGACTCAATTTAAAAAATATCCCAGGCAAGCCCCCCACAGGTCCCTACATGATTCTCATGGACCCCTTGCCATCTCCCCAGTTGAATGCCCTGTGTTGAACCATGGTCATTGTCTTCTGAGAATGGATATTCTTGATCTCCATCCCTGCAGGACTCCTACACCTCTCATGCTATTTTTGTGGAAGTGATAGATGCGGGCTAACTCTATATTTAACACATTGTATGACAGAAAGAGTCAAAGATCTGGGCCTAGAGCATGACAAGATCACTGATTTAGAGCTAGGGCTACAAGAGTTCCTGATGGGGGCATAAGCTGGTACCCAATCCTCCCCATTATAATCCTGGAAGACGCCAGTAGTCAGCACCTTAAACGTCAGAGCTTTGAAGTACATGTATATATGCCTGCCCTGGAAGACACCTTCAGACAGAGCAGGAAAATTTCCACAAGAAGAGAGGTACCAACCCACAGTCATCTATTTAAAGCAATAAGTGTGCATTTCCCACATCCCTGGTAGTACCCCCCAAGTCTAAAAAGAAGCTAATGGGTGAAGACTATTTCACCCTCTAAACTCTAGGTCACCACCTCTGTGGCTACTTCAGGAGCTTAATGAAGCCTTGGAACTGAAAGGAGCCCACAGTGAGAAAGAACCTGAGGGGAGCTCTCTGCATCTCAGCCAATTGAAGACCACAAGAAGAGATTCCACCCCTGTCAAGGCAAAAGACTTTTCGTAAAAAGTAAAGTTCCTGGGGTAGCTAGGTGGTGCAGTGGAGAGAGCTCTGACCTTAGAGTCAGGAGAACTTGAGTTCAAATCCAGCCTCAGACAATTGACACTTACTAGTTGTGTGACCCTGGGCAAGTCACTTAACCCTGATTGCCTCACCAAAAAGCAAACAAGCAAAATATATATATGTATGTATGTATGTGTGTGTGTGTGTGTGTATGTGTGTGTGTGTGTGTGTGTGTGTATATATATATGTATATATATATATATGTGTGTGTGTGTGTGTGTATGTATATATATATATATACACACATATATATATGTATATATATATGTGTGTGTGTGTGTGTGTGTGTATATATATATATATATATAAAGTAAAGTTTCTGACTCTGACATAAACACCTCCACCCCACAGACCCTCTGTTTCTTATTTCCCACATGCAACCTCTCCTCTGAAGTCTCACCTTTAGATATTATCACTGTTCAGCCCTCCCCCTTCTTCCAGCCTCAAAAATATTAAGGTTTTCCTTGCTAAAACAAATATATTAAGGGGGAGTAGAGCCAGAATCTTTGTTCAGTCTTCTCTCCACTAGGCCATATAAAGGCACTTATTCTCACCAGTGGAAAAGGACTTCAGAGCTTTAAATGGCTAACGTGATATTGAAGTTACATTTACCAATATTGTTTGTCAATGTCCTAACTGAGGGCTCCGCTGAATCTATCACCTTCGTTTAGGAACTGTTGATACACCTTCTCTGCATGACAGAATCCAGGCTAGCCCAGACCCCAAAAAGGTAATTATGCTTTTCTCAATAATTTTTGTTTTATATCTCTTGGCAAAACCTAGCCCTTCCCTGAATCTCTGCTACCCTCATTAACAGTGACTGAATGATCCAGTTTAGTGGCTTGGAATAAAAAGTGTAATGGAACCAAGGTTTAAGGATGCTTTTCTGCATCATGCATCATTGATCGCTGCCATGAGACCACGTATAGGCTCCTTTTACTATGCTTGCTTTGACATGATACAAAGTTCATGTACGTGTTTCAGTTTGGGTGGTTGATTATTCCTGCAAATGATCTGTGTCCACAGGCAATGGATGATTTCTTAAAGAGACAGAAGATGGGAAGACTAGCAACAGCAGAAGAAGTGGCCCTGTTGTGTGTGTACTTGGCCTCTGATGAAGTGAGTGCTTCCTCCTCCTGGGGAATGTGGCCCCCATCCCTGGCAATCTGCCCACCAAACATGATGTTTTCAGGGAACTTGCAAAGTTCATGGTACCGTAGTAACCCAAAAAGGCCAAGGAAAAGCCAGTGAACTCATTGTTTTGATTCAGGCCTTTACTTCTTCCTCACCGCTTTTCACAAAGTGAAATTAAGGATTGAAAACAATAAGGCAGTCATCACATGGTACTCCAGATGTAGAGCTGGGAAGGATCTTAGAGGTCATCAAGTCTAAACTCATTTTGCAGATGAGGAAACTGAGATTCAGAAAGTTTAAGCAACTTGTCCAGGTCACACAGTTACTAAATAACCAAGGCAGGACTTGAACTCAGATCTTGCTGCCTCCTACCTCCCGTGCTCTAACCAGTGCACCACCAAGCTGCCTCCCATGACAAGTAACAAAAATTACACAATTAACCTCTTGTGTAATAAGGACTTTGGGGTTAGCCAGTTTGAAAGAACCATTTTAATTATGCCCAGGGGATAGTTTTGGCTCAGAAGATTTATAACTTGGGGGGGGGGTCAGGATACAGTGTATGGAGTGCTTTGTTTAGGAAAATTCCACCGCTCAGTTTTCATGAATTCCAACCAGTGTGTCATCATGCATGGAAATGACTACTATTTTTCTTCCACTCTATATTGACTGCTTCCTGTCCATTTTTTCCTTAATAACTAGTATTCATTTTTTAAGTGGTATGGACCTTGGAAGAAGAAAATGATCTTGTAAGACTACAAGATTCTTTCCCTCTTTATATCACATCTTTTATTGTTAAGTGATAAGAGAACACAGCATCATCAACTATCATACTAACTCAGTGGTCAAGGAGCTAGACATGGAAAAGAAAACGTAGGCTTGAGGGGAGGGTGGGATGGTAGAATTGGTACCTCATGGCAAGGAATTACCTTATAGTATTTGGTTATCAGAAAGACTTAACACTGATTTAAGTGAAAAAGAAGAGGTCATCTGGTGTTGTAGAAAGAGGATTTGGGTTCACATTCACCATTCTGAAACTTGGTATGCAATGTTGGACAAGTTGTTGACCTCTAGGCCTCAAGTTTGTCATCTGCAAAATGAAAGGGTTAGATTCAGAGAATTTAGGGAGTCTCTAAAGTCCTCTTCAGAGTTAAATATATGATCCTGTGATCTTATATTTTCTCCAAAACTTAGATATGAAAGGAAGTGATCAGATAGATTCCTTAGAAAATTATAAATGGAATAGGCACTTTGGAGTTTTCTTCTACCTCTTCAGTACTTCAGTGACCTGTGACTTTAATAGTATGAGTATTGTCTCCATTGATGTAAATCACCACTTCTCTTTGACTAAGTAGAAGGTCTTAGTAGTAAGCTGTTAGGGCTCAAAAATTGATCACCCCACAGACAATCTGGTGTTGTGTCCAACCTTAATTAGGCAGGTCTCAGACAGGTCTATCACCAAACCCAACCCTGAAGACTTTCCAGATGAGTAGGGCCTTCAGGATTACATTCTGCTTTGAGCCTCTAAGGTCACCTCCACGTCACAGGGAGGCATCAGAGGAGAGCGCTAGCATAAGGTCACTTCTCCATAGACTATAAAAATGGATGACTACTTTATTACTAGAAGGGACAGTAGAAGCTGCATGAAGAATGGAAAGCTGGATGCTCCCCATATGTCTGGCATCCCTTTAAGATAGATCTAAAAGAATATTTTTTTTGTTTTATTTTTAGGCCACTAGGGTTAAGTGACTTGCCCAGGGTCACACAGCTAGTAAGTGTTATGTGTCTGAGGCCGGGTCTGAACTCGGGTCCTCCTGACTTCAGGGCTGGTGCTCTATCCACTGTGCCACCTAGCTGCCCCTAAAAGAATATTTTGAAAATTGGGCAGCAGTTGAATTGCATCTACAGTACAGTAGGCCTTTGAGGGAGGGTAGAAAAAAAGAATCTAGCTTGTTTACATCTCATTTATGTCTTTCTCCTGATATATGTGTCTTAAAGAAATTCTATTTTCTCAAATATGTATTCATATTATACATAATATTCTATATTATGTAATAAACATAATATCTGGCATTATAAAATATATTTTCTTAAATTGTGTAAAACTATTATTTTAGACTTAAGACCCTGTTCATATAGGGATAGGGCCTGGATTTGTGATTTCATTATTATAGATAACTTCCAGATGAAGATGCTCCCTCTACCAGTGCAAGTAAGCTCTTTCTCTGCAACTTATAATTTAGAGAGTTACCTGGCACACTGAGAAGTTAAGTGACTTACCAAGGGTCATATAGTCAGAATATGTAAAAGTTTGCATTTGAACTGATTCTTCCTAGCTTTGAAACTGGCTCTCATTAATTCAGAATTTTGATAATCAAAATATAAATGGAATGTTTTGCCATTACTTAGCAAACTCTTTGATGAGTACAAACTAATAATGAAAGTAAGTTAAGTATAAATTTAAGAGGTCCACCTTTTTACACATTCTTGGGGCCTTAAAAGATCCATTTACATACAAATCGCTAATATTCTCATTTTAAATCATGCTTCTTTAATCATAAAAGCAGTTTTACCTCATTGCCCTTTACTTTTCCCAAAGTGAAATTAAGGGTGGGAAACAATAAAGTGGTCATCACACAGATCCTAGACGTAGAGCTGGGAAGGACCTTAAAAACCATGAAGTGCAACCCATGTATTTTCAGATGAAGATGCTTGTGAGATAATACTTTGTGAGCCTAGGATGAGTTATTACACGTACTTAAAATAGACCTTTGCACACGTACATATATATGTGTGTGTATGTATGTATACATGTAGTTCCAATATAAAATCACTCTATTACTGTCCTCCCCTTATCTATTGAATAAGATGAACCTTCCAGAACTGTGCTACAGAGTACCATCCTTTCAAGTCTCAGTGGTACTTGTGAACTCAGATTTGTCACCTTGCACTAGAATGCCTCTGTTAACATTTAACAATAATAATGATAGCTAGCATTTATATAACACTTTAGGGTTTACAAAGTACTTTATATATGATTAAGTCATTAAATACATCTGTACTCCTGGAAGAGTTTGCTAAGCAGAGATAAAACATTCCATTCATGTCCAGATTATCATACTTTCTGAGTTAATGAGAGCCTGTCTCAAATTTTCTACATTTGTATATAAACATAGGAAGCCGTAGGTTTTTACAAAATCTCGGAATTTCAAGGTTGGAAGTAACCTTGGCAGCCATCAAATCCAACTCACACCAAAAAAAAGAATCCCCACTGCAGCACAGCCAATGAATCATCACCTTTGCTTGAAGACCTCCCATGAGGGAGAAGCCTCTAGCCCCAGATCCTATTCCACTTTGGAATAATTACAATTATTAGGAAGGTTTCAGGGGGCGGAGCCAAGATGGTGGAGTGAAAGCAGTGACTTGCTTGAGCTCTCCCCCAAACCCCTCCAAATACTCATAAAAAATGGCTCTAAACAAATTCTGAAGCCGCAGAACCCACAAAAAGACAGAGTGAAACAAATTTCCAGCTCAAGACAACCTGGATGATTGATCAGAAAGGGGTATCACGCTGGACTGGGAGTGCAGCACAGTGCAGCGAGGGTGCACAGGCCGTAGCAAACCTGGAGCAGGCCTCAGAGGACTGAATGGCAGGCAGCTGTGGTGGTTTCCAGACTCCTCAATTCATGAATGCCAAAGACAACTTAGAAGGTCAGTGGGAAAAGTCTGTTTCTGCAGTGCTCAGAGAGGAAGGCAGGGTTTCAGCTCCATTCCCCAAGAGCGTAGCCCTGGGTGGGAGGGCAGCTGCTTCCCTAGCTTCCGGCCCACAGACTGAGGGGGAATCCAGTGGCTGATCAGAGAGGGATTGCAGGGATCTCTTTGCCAGTGCGGAGGCAAGAATCTCTTGCTTTGCCCATGTTTAGATCTGGGTCACAGTTCTGGGCGGTGGTGCTGGGGTGAGAAGGAGCGCTGCCGTGGAGCAATTTGTAGTGACTGTGGAAAGGAACCCATCCTCACAGTTACAGGACAGAAAGGAGTAAACAAATCGCCCCTTATCATACCACCTTGGAAGAACTGAAAACTTACAGGTCCCTACAGGTATCTCTGAAAACAGCTACACAAACCCCTGAAGCTTGGGACAGTACACTCTCCACATTGGAAGCAGACTCTTACCTTAACAAAGAGTTTAAAACTCAAGTAATTGGCCAGGATCATGAGCAAGCAGCACAAAAAGAGTCAGACTATATTATCTTACTTTGGTGAAAAAGAAGATCAAAATATACAACCAGAAGAAGACAACAAAGTCAAAGTTCCTACATCCAAAGCCTCCAAGAAAAATATGAATCAGTCTCAGGCCCTGGAAGAGCTCAAAAGGGATTTTGAGAAGCAAGTAAGGGAAGTAGAGGAAAAACTGGGAAGAGAAATGAGAGTGATGCAAGAAAATCATGAAAAACAAGTCAACAGCTTGCTAAAGGAGACCCAAAAAAATACTGAAGAAAATAACACCTTAAAAAATGCCTAACCCAAATGGCAAAAGAGGTCCAAAAAGCCAATGAGGAAAAAAATGCCTTAAAAAGAAAATTGGCCAAATGGAAAAGGAAGTCCAAAAGCTTACTGAAGAAAATACTTCCTTAAAAATTAGGATAGAGCAATTGGAAGCTAGTGACTTTATAAGAAATCAAGACACTGTAAAACAAATCCAAAAGAATGAAAAATTAGAAAACAATGTGAAATATCTCATTGGAAAAACAACTGACCTGGAAAATAGATCCAGGAGAGAGAATTTAAAAATTATTGGACTATCTGAAAGCCATGATCAAAAAAAGCCTAGACATCATCTTTCAAGAAATTATCAAGGAAAACTGCCCTGATATAGTAGAACCAGAGGGCAAAATAGAAATGGAAAGAATCCACAGATCTCCTCCTGAAAGAGATCCCCAAAGGAAAACTCCTAGGAATATTGTAGGCAAATTCCAGAGTTCCCAGGTCAAGGAGAAAATATTACAAGCTGCCAGAAGGAAACGATTGAAGTACTGTGGAAACATAATCAGGATAACACAAGATTTAGCAGCTTCTACATTAAAGGGCCACAGGGCATGGAATATAATATTCCGGAGGGCAAAGGAGATAGGATTACAACCAAGAATCACCTACCCAGCAAAACTGAGTATAGTCAATCCTTCGGAGGAAAAAATGGTCATTCAGTGAAATAGAGGACTTTCAAACATTCCTGATGAAAAGACCAGAGCTGAATAGAAAATTTGACTTTCAAATACAAGACTCAAGTGGAATACGAAGAGGTAAACAGGAAAGAGAAATCATAAGGGACTTATTAAGATTGATTGAACTGTTTACATTCCTGCATGGAAAGATGATATTTATAACTCATGAGACCTTTGTCAGTATTAGGGTAGTTGGAGGAAAAAAATTATATGTATGTATAGATAGATAGATAGAGGGCACAGGGTGAGTTGAAGATTAAGGAGTCATATCTGGAGAATAAAGTTAAGGGATAAGAGAGTTATACTCGGAGAAGAAGAAAGGGAGAGGTAGAATGGGGTAAATTATCTCACAAAAACAAAAAACCAGAAAAGTCTTTTATAATGGAGGGGAAGCAGGGGAAGGTGAGAGGGAATGAATGAATCTTATTCTCATAGGATTTGGCTTAAGGAGGGAATAACATACACATTCAATTGGGTATGGAAATCTGTCTTACCCTACAGGAAAATAGGGGGAGAAGGGGACAAGAAAGTAGGGGGATGATAGAGAGGAGGGCTGATTGGGAAAGGGGGTAATCAGAAGCAAATACTTCTGAGGAGGGACAGGGTCAAAAGAAAGAATAGAATAAATGGGAGGGCAGGATAGGATTAAGGGAAATAGAGTTAGTTTTTCACAACATGTCTACTATGGAAGTGTTTTGCATAACTGTACATGTACAACCTATATTGAGTTGCTTGCCTTTTCAATGAGGGTGGGTGGGGAAGGAGGAAGAGAGAAAATTTGAAACCTAAAGTTTTAAAAACATATGTTTAAAAAAAATGTTGTCACATGCTACTGGGAAATAAGAAATACAGGAGATGGGGTATGGAAGTCTATCCTGCCCTACAGGAAAATAGAAGGGGAAGGGGATAAGAGAAGGGGGGAGAGATAGAAGAGAGGACAGACTACGGGAAGGGATATTCAGAATGCATGCCATATTGGGGTGGAGGGAGAGGTGAGATGGGGTGAAACTTCAGAAGTCAAAAACTTGTGGAAGTGAATGTTGAAAACTAAAAATAAACTTATATTTAAAAAAAAAAGGAAGGTTTCCTGAGCTTAAACTTTTTGTAACTTTCCATCCTCCTACTTCTGTCCTCGGGACACAAATAGGGTAAGTCTAATCCCTCTTGCATATGACAACTATTCAACTCCTTATAGGCACCTATTGTGTTCCCACTGAGTCTTCTCTCTTCTAGGCTAAACATCTCTAGTTCCTTTAATTGATCTTTATTTGATATAATCTATTTAAGAGATTTTTCACCTTTTTTGATTGCCTTCCTGGATCCTCTGTGGCTTATTAATATCTGAACTGTGGCATTCAGCACTCACAGCATCACAGATCAAGAGCTAGGGATTTTTTAGGCCAGCTAGCCCAACCCCTTCATTTTATAGATGAGGAAAATGAAACAAGAGAGGTTAAGTGACTTGGCCACCGTTACACAGGTAGTAAGAGTTGGAGGCTGGAGTCCAATTCAGATCCTATGCTCACTCATGTATGCCTTCATTGTATACCATCCATATTAGTGATAAAATGGATGTGTTTCATATATATAATATTATATAATGCATAATAATTATGTGATTATACTATATATATTACATGTAATATATAATGTGTGTATGTGTGTGTATGTATATGTATATATTTGAGTTTGACCATTTAACCGCTTCCAAATCCACCTTATTATGCTTTCTAGCCTGCATCTGTTCATCCTCTCTAAAAACATCTTATCAAAATTGTTTTTCCTTGTGTCTTAAGACTTTCTTTTTTGAGAGCTTCTCTGGTTTTTCCCATAGAATTATAGTTTATGGGACCTTGCTTATCCATTCTTTGACCCCTCTGAAATCTTCTCTCCCAAAATCTAAGATGCATGCCTAACTCTGCCTCACTTTCCCCTACTTCTCTATCACAAACTCGAGGAAAGAGCAGTCACTTCCCCCCAAAATTCCTATCATTTCTACTCCAGCAATTACTTCCCTCTTGTAGGTAAGGACCAGGCCCAGATTACAATTTCCCTTTGTTGATCCTATAAAGAATGGAGTTATTACCAAGACAAGTCAGTAAGTTAGCATATGCTCTGCTTTTGGCAAAAGAAGCACTCCAATTAATGTTAAAGGGGTCTAATGCTGTTGCTATAGTACCATTACCAAGATGGCTTATTTCCTCTTTTATATTGGATTTGTCATGGCAGCCAAGGCTATCAACCTAAGCCTTAAAGTTTCAGGACTCCATGACTGTTCCTTATATGACCTCTAATCAGTCCCGGTCATCTCACTTTTCTGAATTTCTTTATTCATAAATCTACAGATGATGCTGCACCTCTTTTTACACAACGTGGCACCCCCAATTCATTGGGCAGAGTGCATGAATCAAAGTAAACAAACTGTCTTTGAGAATCATAGGCGCCAAGCAGAATTTAGGAATTCCTGATTATTGTGCAAAACCACATAGGTTCAAAAGCTTGCTGTCAGCTAGCTCTGAAGTAATTTGGGTTTCACAATGGAAAGAAAGCATTTTATCTTTATCATACAGGCAATTTTCAGGGAAAGTTGTAGTGACTTCAAGTTAAAAACATGTAAATACCAAGGCTCGCCCAAACATGAGACCTTAGCAACATGGGATTGACTCAGAAAGTCATGTGCTGAGTTACTGACATTAATTCTTGGGTTTTAATTGCTAAGAGTGTTTTGAGTAATTTTGTGTGTGTGTGTGTTGAGAGAGAAATGCCAGGTAACAAATCTGTTTAATCCTTCTTATGCCCTGTTTTTGTCATTGCAGTCTGCCTACATGACTGGTAATGAAGTCATCATTGATGGAGGCTGGAGCTTGTGATTTCTGAATTGTAACAGTGGAAAAGAAGCCTCTTCCCAGTTACACTGAGCTTGGACATGAATAGTAAACACCTGACAAATTTATGTAGCACTTTATAGTTTTAAAATGATACATTTAAATTTCATTGCTACATGATAATGTTGAATTTAATTAGTAATTTTTTTATTCTTCATATGAACATACTCAAAGTGATAGTTAAATTGATTCAATTAGAAGGCATCTAATCTGTTACACAATTCTGAAATGTTCTTGGTCTTCTGTCCTCCTGAACTTTTTAGATACTCAGAATAAAATTATGTTGTGCTCAGTTGTTTTTGTAAGCTATGTGTCATTTAAAAAAAATTTCAATTAAAAGTAGCTCAGAATAGAATTAATATATTCATTGTCCTACATGATTTTGGAAGCCCTGGTGACCCCAGAAACAATGTAGGGAATTTTAGGGTACCATGGTTGTCCAGATACACATTAGTCCCCAGCCAGTGTATTCTCTACCAACACATCAGGCAAGAAACAAATACCAAAGAGAAAAGCATTGAATGAGTACACGACAGGAAAGTTAACAAGGGAAAATCACATAGTAGAATCATTCTCCACCTCCCCATTATGTTAGGGGACAATTTCCTGTTACTCTTCACACTTCCACACTTATTAATTACACCTGCCATTGCTGCTTAGTCCCCTTTCATAGCTGAGATTCCTCTCTGTCTTCAGAGCTACCATTTGCCAGAGCCTACATCTGCTGTTTTTCTCAGGGAGTGTTATTATAATCACTACATTTTTAGGTCTTCGGTAAATCCAGCACATCTGAATAGCACAGAAGGCCCCCTTCAGGTGATGGAAAAGTCCCTTTTCTGAATTTAATTACCCCTTCTCAAGAGGAGCTATCCCATCTCTCCTTCCTGATTAGTTTAGGGCTAGTAAATTCCTTTTAACTCTAGTCATGCCCCTGACATATAGTGTTCAGGACCATGCAAATTTATCTTGAAACTTCAAAAAGCTTTTGGGAGGCACTTGGGGAGGGACTGATGGGAAGGTATCTTTGTCCTGTATTCCAGCTACAGGGGCAAAACCATTCCTTTATTTTCTCCACAGTAAAAATTTGCAAATCACACCAGGTACACAAGTACAGTTTATATATGCACCTCAAATATTCCTTAATTTGCATACTGCAGAGTTATAGCTACATTAACCCAAGATCATGGGTTACATGGAGGTAAGCACTTCCTAGTGTAGAAACTACAATTGTATATAGTATAACAAATTCATAGATCAATGTGTGGTAAATAAAAATCACAATTTATTTATGATAGAATATATATACAGCCATATGTAATGTATATTTTAGGGGCAGCATCATATGCATGCATAAAGATTAAGGGCTGACTCCATTCAGCCTTTACCAACCCCCTTTCTACCACCCTTTGCAGAATTTTTCTCCTGGGTTTGCAAGGTATAAAGAAGTTAAACACTTTCCTCCCTGTTCAGCTTCAGGCCAGGGATTTGGGAAAGTTCAATTCTTGCTCTCTGAATAATGTAACACCCACGTTGGGTAGTGCCCTGAAAGATAGCCCTGTGCTGCATATGATTTCACACTTGTAAGAACTGATGCAGAGTGAAGTGAGCAGAACCAGGACAATTTATACTATTACATCAATGTTACAAAAATGAACAATTTTAGACTTGTCTAAACTAAAAATTGAAATAAACCAAACCAAACTAGAATGCAAACAATTTATACAATAATAACACCACCATAAAAATAAACAACTCTGAAAGCAATAAGAACATCTGATTTCTGTTTGCTGTTTTGGTTTACTCGATATTCATTGTTTGTGATGGTCTTTGTGTAGCCAGCATTTGGTGGGAGGGGACTAAACTGGTGAGCATAAGCTAAAGTATGCAGGAAAGTAAGCAGACTTTCTTTATGAACTCCTAAAACGGTATCCCTGGACTAAAGATGTTTGAAGGGGTGGCAGCTAGGTATCATTCTAGTTTAATACTCCTCTTGAAGAGAGGGAAGATTGCCAAACTCACGCTATCTAAGATCCTCCTGTCCCTCTGCCCCTCTCTTCACACTCATCCCTCACCCCCTAACTAGACTGTTGGTGATACAGGTACTGCTCTCAGATCAGACTTATCCATGCCACCAGTGAGCTGAATCTATATACTTAGACAGCAGACACACACACACACACACGCATATATTTTATTTTGGCTTAGCAGCTGGTACCTCCTTTATGGGGAGATCTTTCCCAGTCTCCCTGCACACCAACCCTCACTCTAGTGCCTTTCCCTTAAGATCACCTCTCATTCATACGTACATGTACATATATATAATATACATAATATACACACACACGTACACATATACACATATACATATATGTAATGTATATATAACATACTAATATATTTTATTATATTATATAACTAATATGTGTAATGTATATGCACATGTGTATATTATATATTTATATATAACAAATATATATATATGATGTGTGTATATGCACATACATACACACACACACACACACACACACACACACACATATATATATATATCATATGTACATAGTTGTATGTGTGTTGTCTCCTCCATTATAATCCTTGAGGACAAAACTATTTTTTGCCTTTCTTTGGCATGGTTTGCATAGTGTCCATCACGTAGCAAGTACTTAATAAATGCTCGTTGACTGATTGGCTGAAGTTGTTCCATCTAGCCTACAGGCCTAAGCTGCCATCTGGGTCTTCTCCCTTCCAGAGGCCATGAGGCCTTGGCCTGGCCTGTTTTGGGCTACCATGTATCTCTCGCTGGCATCTTCATGCTAGTCTGCCCAGGTCCCCATCCACATTGAGTTTCTCTTCCTGTCTTCTTCTTTTTCTCTCCAAACCACCTCCAAGTGCATTTTCAAGCATCTCCTAATTTCCAGTTCTTCAGTAGGCTGGGATAAGAGACAGTCTTTGGGACAGAAACAATGGAAATCTTCGCCTGAGTCTTCCTCTAAATCCACCTTCTTGTGGCTAAGCTTTTATCTCTGCTTTCTGATCCCTGAGTTACTCACTGTAGCTTGTACTTAATCAGTGCTCAATAAATGTTTAATAATAAATTGAGTCATGGCTCATGGCCCTCCCCTAGGGTTGCTTCTCTAGATACCAGATTTTACCCTAAAAACCAAAAAACCTAAGTCATATATTAGATATCATTATATCACCACCAGATATTTTTCCGTATCACTCTTCACAACTCCTTCCATCTCTCAGGGCAGGGCAAGGCAGGTCAGGGCAGGGTAGAATATGGTACCACAATGTCTCTGAAGGTGGAAAAGCACACTGGATTTAAAGTTCAAATATCTGGATCCTGCCCTGCTGCTTACAAGCTGTGGCATTTTATTTAAACTCTCTGGGCCTCAGATTTTTCATTTACAAAACAAGGGGGTTGAACTAAATGATCAGTGAAGTCCCAAACCTAAATCTTATGTTCTAGGTAAACCCTCTATCTTAAGCAGGGTGGGATAATAATGAGAATAACTAGCATTTATACATCACTTTGAGGTTTGCGATGCTCTTTACCAATATCATCCAATTTTATCATTACACAGCAATCCTGGGAAGCTGTTATTATTTCCATTTTATGGATTGAGGAAACTGAGGCAGACTGAGGTCGTAACTTCCTCAGGGATACATAATCAGTAAGTATCTGAAGTAGGGTATGAACTCAGGTCTTCCCCCATTAGATCATAAGCTCCTTGAGAGCAGGGACTGCTTTTTGCCTCTTTTTGTATCCTCTGTATGCACAGTGCCTGGCAAATAGTAAACATTTAATAAATGTCGATTGATTGACTCCAGTACTCTACCCAGTGCACTACCAGCAGCATGAAATAGTGAAATCCCACCTGAATTAGCTGGGCAGCCAATTAATCTCTCTGAGCCTAAGCTTCTTGTAAAATGGAGGAGAGGAGATAGATAAAACCATCTACCTTACAAGGTTGTTGTGGGGATGATCCAAAGACATAATGCATGTTTATGAATCTTATGCTACTACTATCTAGCAGAATAATAATAGGGGCAGCTAGGTGGTGTAGTGGATAGAGCACCAGACCTGGATTCAGGAGGACCTGAGTTCAAATCTGACCTCAACACCTGACACTTACTAGCTGTATGACTCTGGGCAAGACACTTAACCCTGATTGCCTTATGCCGAAAAAAAAAAAATAATAAATAAGATGGAAACACTCAGAAGACATGGTTTCAAAACCTTCCTCTGTCATATATTACCTCTGTAACCCTGGACAAATCACCTAGCCTCCCTGGCCTCAGTTTTCTCATCTGTAAAATGAGAAGGTTGAACTGGATGCCTTTTGAAGTCTCTTCCAGCTCTAGTTCTGTGATCTTTTGGTCAAACATTAGGACTTAAGCTCTGTCTTTGCCACTAGCTCACCTGATCTTGGACAAGTATCAACCTCATTTTCTGCATCTTTAAAATGAAAGGGCTCATCTCAGATGCCTTCCCACTCCCATTCTAGGATTCTACACAGACGCTGGGGTGGACCAGTGACACTACTGACTTTGAGACCCCTATAATTATATCAAGGAACCATGATTTCTTCAGAGAAGCAAAATAACTTGTCCAGGGTCACACAGCTAATAAGTATTAGTGGAGAGATGTCAACCCTATAAGATATTAGTTAAGATGATGCTAGTTCTTTACAAATCCATAAAAAACTTCAAGTGACAAACGTAAATACACTGTGTTCCAAAAATAGTATTTTGTTTTAAATTTGTATGAAAGGCAACTTCTGAAATGCACAGTAAACACTAATTAACTCTCTCCCCTACTAAAAGTTCCCATTATATATCTTCCCCCCCCACACACACACACCCTGCAAAGTACAACATAATCCAGCAAGATTACAATGTATTTCCAGTCACACGGAACAATCCTAGGGATTTATCAATGAAGAACTCGTGGCTGGGAAAAAAGGAAAAATATACTATGGGAGGAGGAAGGGCAAGAGGAAGTTGGCACCCAGAAATTTTGGTACGATTTATGATAAAAAGAGCTCCAAAGGGGAAATAGCTTCGCTCTCTATTTAGAAGCAGCAAAGGCACCTGAGGAGCAAATGTTTCAGGTCCATGCTTTCTTTTCTTTAACAAATAAGGATTTGAGAGGTGTAAAGGTTTTGTGGAAGAACCACTGTAGAAAAAAAGGCACTTCTAAGGCCAGACCACACACAGATTCTGCTAAGAGAGTGAGGAAAACAGGTAAGAAGACAGGTAAGGTTTAATTTGGGAAGAAAAGTGATCAGGACTGGCCTAGGTAAGGACAAGACCATTTTCAATGTGTAGTTTATCCTTTGTTCTCCAAGAGGACCATGACATCAGAGAGATGATGACATGACTTGCAATTGACTTTGATTTTAGTGAAGGAGGGCTGTGCAAAGTCACCAGCCTCACTCTCTCCTCCAGAGCCATCTGGGTCCAGTGGCGAGATTGATCAGGATGTCTGGAGATGGCCCAGAATGTAGCGGGAGACCTTGGCTCTTTTAAACTAAGTTTTTTCAGGTTCTCACTTTGCCGTTAGGCAGCACTCATTCAGTGAATAGGGGTCTTTAAGAAGTGAGTTAAGGGATGGACCCTTTAACAAAAAAAAAAATCTGAGAGGGTTAGACCCTCAGGGTTGCTGGCCAAAAGAGAAACAGTTACTGCTTACAGGAGGACCCAAAAAATAACCATTAAGTGGTGCTTGGGCAGGGACCTATTGTCCAATACGTGAGATCTAGAGTGAACTGGGTTTAAGGCTTGGTCTTTTAAAAAGAAGTCTAGCCAGTGAGCCCCAAGTTAACTAAGTAGCTTTTGGCCAGAAAGAGTTGTTAAGAGATTAAGTTCTAGGAGAATTTTGCTGCTAATTTGTATTTTAATTCCAGAAACTCTTTAATTCCAGTCAAGTGTTCAGTACCACTTGGTTGTATAGGTGCCAGGGACAATATATGGTCACGAATATCAAAATGAAAATAATTGGAAACTTTTTTTTTCTATTTCTTAGACTTTCTCTCCCTACCTTAGGAGTAGGTATTTGGGGTTCCACTAAAAGTTTAAAAATGAGGTCATTACAACGCCGTCTGCCATATACATCTGGTAGAAAGGAATCATTTTAAAAATCTAAAAATATTTCCAGAAGTTATGTGCTGGTAATGACTGACCAGGATTCCAAAGAACTAATGATGAAACATGCTACCTACTTCCTGAAAGAAAGGTGAAAGAACTCAGAATGTAGGAGACAAAGAGTTTTTTGGACATGGACAATGTGGAAATTTGTTTGGATTGATTACACGTGTGTAGTGGGTTTGTTCTGCTTGGGTCCTCCTTTGTTGGGGGTGGGAGTGGGGGGCGGATCTTGGCTGATTGAAACAAAGAAAATTTTTTTTTAAAAATAAAAAAATGTAAAAAGGTTATGTGTTAACGTTGTAAAGACAAACAATTTTGAAAGAATTAGGAACTCAGATCAACACAATGACCAACCATGTTCTCCTGGACTCATGTTGAAACATGCTGCTCATCTCCAGAGAAAGGTGATGGACTCAGTGTACGGATTGAGCCCTTTTTTTCCTATTGGTCATGGCTATGCTGTGAATTTTGCTTTGCTTGGTTATCTGTTTTTAACAGGGGTTTTGGCATTTTTTTCTTTCTCAAATCAGGGAGAGAGGAAGTGGAAAGAAAAGAATGTGGACTTGAAAGTAAAATTAAATTTTTAAAAAGTTATTTGCTAGTAACTGAAAGAAGGAATGTTAATCATAAAATATATTTGCAATATATTGGATGAGTGGAATCAAGGTAAGGAAAAGGATGGCTTATTTGAAGGGTTTCTTGGCTTGTAAATAACATGAGTTCCTGTCCACAAAACAATGAAAGAACTCAACTACTTAAATATTTATGGGACTTAAGATTTCAGATTAGAAAACTCTTGAAAGTTAGGAAATTCTTCTCTCTTAGAAACTTATCTGTACATTGTATCCTGGCTTGGATAGATGCCTAGAGCACTGGGAGTTTGTAACTGCCCAAGGTCACACAGCCAGTCCATGTCAGAGATAGAACTTGACCCCAGCTCTTTCTGGATTCATACAAGGCCAGCTAACTTCCTAACCACTATTTGGTGCAGGTCCAACAAATGACCAGACTTCATTAGATCTAATCTTCGGCATTTCAAGCAGGTTATAAACACTGCAGCTGCTGAGGCCCCTACACAGAAGGCAGAAAAATACTCAACTAGAATCATTAAGAAGACTTTGATCATTGGACCTAACTTCAAATGTAACTTTGGATTTAAAAAAAAAACAACAAAACTCAAACTAGTCTTCAAAGATTTTTGTGTTGTTGTTTTTAACCACACCTGTGATTTCATCTGTGTAGAGGGAGCTCTAAGAAATTCCCTCCCTCTCCCAAAGGAAAGAGGTCTGCCATTACAGCTTCCAGAGCTGCCTGGGGCACTGACAGGTAAAATCACTCATCTAGGGTCTCCTGGTCAGTTTATTAATTGATTGAGTGCTCCTATGCTGTTCCTTAGGGTAGTCTTTGCCTAGGAGGGGAAACCTATAAACAATTAAGAAAATGCAAAATCTGTGCATAAAGTAAATACTAAGTAATTCGAAGGCACTAACTTGGGGGGGGGAGACCATCAAGAAAGGGCTCATGTATTTTTGAGGGGGCCAAGGAACTGGCAGATTGAATGAAAAAGAGCTTGAGAAACCTCAAACTCTTGGTGAGATGGAGAGTTCAAGTTGGTAAATTAAAATCAGATTGAGATGTGATGAAGAAAGCTGGATGCCTACGAAGAGACAGAAGATTTGGGATTCTTCAGCCCACGAGTAAATTTGGATACTTATTGAAAAACCCTGTCGCTGCAAGGCATTCTGGATTCTGGGCCCCACTGACCCTATTTGACCTACACCAGTACCCTAATTAGAAAGCCATATTTTGTGTGGCGTGGTATCGTAGATAGGGTGTCCATTTTACAGAGGAGGAAACTGAGGTCCAGTGACTTGCTCCAAGTCACGCAGCAGGAGGGAGGTGAGATTTGAACTGCAGTCCCCTGACTCCAAACCGAGCCCTCTGCAAGCTCCTCACGGCTGCCTGGGGATCTAGTGCCCCAACACCCTGAGCCAGGCACAGAGTACGCTCCTAAGAGCATACATACACTTGCTTTCACACCAGGGCACTAACAGCAACAAACAGTAGAAGGCTAGATCCTTAGGGCTCGGCCCACAGAAGGATGCTCCTCAGGGCTAGCCAACCGCACTTCCTCCGTTGGGTACCACAGAAGGGATGACTTGTCCTGCAGGGTGGGTAAGGGCATTATTGTTGCTGAGGAGGGGATTGTCTCTTTGAGCAGCGGTCCCTGGACAGAGTCGAGGCAACCGCACCAGCCTCCTCCCGGTCACTGCCTGACGTATCCCAAGGCTCCTCCTCCATCCATTCTGCTCTTCTCCGCCTGGGCTCCACCCCGGAGTTTGGCATGCCAGGCGGAGCAGGGTGGGTGACCCAGCAGCTGCAGGAACTAATAATACCTGCCCTCGGGCCACCCAGATCGGCGAGGCCGCCCTTCCAGGGAAGCCAGCCGGGGTCACGGAGCTACTGCCCCTTTTGTTAGCAGCTAAAGAAAAAAGGGCGATGCTGGCCAGGATGGAACAGGATGCAAGCAGCCGCGTGGATGCCAGCCATTGTTTGGGCAAGGAGAAAGAGTGCTGGTGATGGCCAGTGTCTGCCCTTCCCTCCCCTTTAAAAAATAACTGTTCTTTGCCACTCGTTTCCAAAGCGACCATTAAAGATGGGTTTAATGATGCCTTTCCGGGAAAGAACAATGTGAGTATTATTCCTTTTCTTTTGCGAACACCTAAGGCACTAGGCTGGGCTCTGGAAAGCAACCTGTGGTTTTGACTCTGGAACTGATTGATGGCTTGAGCTTTGAGTAATGGGACACAGGCCTGTCTTCCTTGGGGGGTCGGTTTGCGCGTTGTTTTGTTTTTAATTACTCTGAAGGGATGCACTGGGCCTGGGACTTGCGGGGAGATTTGATCCTCACTGGCCAGGTGGGGGTAGGGAGCTAGGAGGAGGCCTCGGGGAGAGGCGTAGGAATCCCGGAGAGCTGCGACTCTGCAATCAATAACAGATCAACAAGTATTTACTAAGTGGGAATCCGAGGGAAGGACGCGATGACAAGTCATCAGGCACTGTGCTAAGCAGTAGGGCAGAGGCAGCGGGGTATGTAGTCAAATCAGCAAACGTTTATCAAGGCCTCCTGTGTGTCAGGCACTGGGCTGAGCAAGCCATGGGAACACAAAGGAAGGTCCAAGACAGTGCTCGCCCTTGAGAAGCTCACGATCTAATTGAGGGAACAATGAACGTGTAAAAAACTATGTGCAAGCAAGATATATACAAAATAACTTAGAAATAATCGTACAGGAAAGGGACTAGGATTAAAGGGGATAGGGAAGGCTTCTTGAAGGAGGTGGGATTTTTGGCTGGGACCTGAAGGAAGCCAAAAGGAGAGAGACTGTTCCAGGCATAGGGGACAGCCATGAAAATGTGTGGAGTGAGGAGAGAGAGTGTCTCGTACAAAGAACTGCAAAAAGGCCAGTGTCAGAGCATCCCAGAGTGCGGGGGATTAAGGTATAAGAAAACCGGAAAAGTAGAAAGAGGACAGGATTTTATATCTGAGCTACTGGATTTTATCAAATAGGACTGTGATATTGTCAGACCAGGGTTTTAGGAAGATCAATTTGGCAGCTCAGTGGCGGGTAAAGACTGGATCGGGGAGACACTTTGAGGCAGGGAGAGCAAGGAAAAGGTTATTGTAACAGTCCAAGCAGAGGTGATGAGGTCCTGGACCAGGGTATTAGAGGACAGAAGGGGGTATGTTCCAAATGTTGCACAAGTGAAATCAGTAGGCCTTGGCAGTAGATTGGCTATGTGTGGGTGAGAGATAATGAGGAGTCAAGCAAAGATGACACAGGTTTCAGAGACTGAATGAATGGAAGAATGGTGGAACCCTCAACAGTAATAGGGTCGTTAGGAGAGGGAAGGGTTTTGGTATCTTCTTTTTAAAAATAAATAAAATAATTTATGTTAAGCATTCTTATGTTATATACAATATATTATATATAACTTTAATTATATCAATTAATTATATATGTGAAATCATGCAAAAAAAATTTCCATGTTAGCCATACTGGGTTCTTCAACGTTCTTCAATTCTCTCTCTGGAGGTGGATGGCATTTTTTTCATCATGAATTCTTTGGAATTTTCTTAGATCATTGTATTGATCAGAATATCCAAGTCTTTCACAGTTGATCATCATTACCACATTGCTGTTCCTGTGCACAGTGAACTCCAGTTCTTCTCACTTGACTTTGCATCATTTCATATAGGTTTTGCCATACCTTTTTCTGAAACCACCCCCCTTGTCATTTCTTATAGCACAATAATATTCCATCACAGTTATGTGCCACAACTTGCTCAGCCATTCCCCACTTGATGAGTATCCCCTAAATTTCCAATTCTTTGCCACCACGAAAATAGCTTGTCACACATATTTTTGTATGTGCAGGTGCTTTTCCTTTTCCTTTGATCTCTTTGGGGATACAGACCTACTATTGGTATTGCTGGGTCAAAGAATATGCACAGTTTGATAGTCCTGGGGCTCAGTTCTAAATTTTTCTCCAAAATGGTTGGATCCACCAACAGTTTATTAGTGTACCTATTTCTCCTCATCCTCTCCAGTACTCGTCATTTCTGATAGGTGTGAGGTGGTAGCTCAGGTTTGTTTTAATTTGCATTTTTCTAATCAATAATGATTTAGAGCATTTTTCATATGGCTTTAGATAGCTTTGATTTCTTCTTCTGAAAACCACCTATTCATATCTTTTGACTATTTATCAATTGGGGAATGGCTGTTAGTTTTATAAATTTCACTTAATTCCCTATATATTTGAAAAATGAGGCCTTTATCAGAGAAACTTGCTGTAAAATTTTTTGATGTTACTTCATTTTGAGCAAAATGTAATTTCCCTGATTATCTCTTTTAATTAGGCCTATTTTTGCTTTTGCTTTGTCTGCGATCCTGACTGCTACCCTTGCCTTTTTTTTTTGCTTCAGCTGAAGCATGATAGAATCTGCTCCAGCCCTTTATTTTAACTGTGTGTATCTTTCTGCATTAAGTGTGTCTTTCATAAACAACGTATTATTAGATTCTGGCTTCTAATCCATTCTGCTATCCACTTGCATTTTATGGGTGAGCTCAATCCCTTCACATTCACAATTATGATTACTGTGTATTTCCCTCTGCCCCTTTTTCTTCTGTTTATCCTTCTCCATTTTTTTTTATCTTGGCCCTCCTCAAAAGTCTGTTTTGCTTCTGACCACTCAGTTAATCTGCCCTCACTTTTATCATTCCCCACCCTGCCATATGTCTTATCTCCTTCCTCTCCTACTTCCATATTGGGTGAGAGGTACATTTATTTATACTCAACTGAGTGTGCATATATATTCTTCCTTCTTTAAACCAATTCCAAAGAGAGTGAGGTTCAAGCATTGTCCACCACCTTCCCTCCCATTTTTGATGGGAGGGTTTTGGGAGAAACATTAGTTTTGGACATGTTAAATTTAAAATGTCTATGGAACATCCAGTTTGAGATGTCCAGTAACAGGCCATTGGAGACTAGACATGGCAAGTCAGGAGGGAGGTTAGGGCTGACTAAGTAGATCTGAGAGTCCTCTGCATAGACTTAGTTGTATCCATGAGAGCTGATGAGATCACTAAGGTAAATAATGTGGCAACTACTAAACCTATGTGGAGATTTCTATGCAATTTGGTTCCTTCAAAGCAAGTGGCAAAAAAAAAGCCACCAAAAAATCACCACTTTCCTTAATTACCCCATCAAGAACTGACATTCGCTTCAATTTAGTGAGAATTAATAATCACCAGCTGGCATGTGGATTAATCTGCTGGTTTAGTAGGGGTGACACAAAGTTTATCTAAATCAAGGGTCCTTCCCTCATCTAAATTTACAGTCCAGATACAAAACATATACTGGCATAATAAAACTTCTCAGAGAGATGTAAATGCTATGTGTTGTTGGGATGATGAGTTTGGAGATCAGAGAAGTCTCAGTGGGGAAGCTTCATTTGAGTAAAATTTTAACAGTATGAGTAGGACACAGACAGGTAATTTGTATATAACAGGTCATAACCATATCTGTTCTTGAAGAAAAAATTTAAAATTGCTTTCCTCTTCAATGGGTGGGGAATGGGCTGGAGGGAGAGAAAGAATTTGAAAATAGAAAATTAAAATTAAAAAAGAGAAAAAATTAAGTCCTTCTCTCCACCTCTTCATTTAAAAAATAGCCAATATCAGTTTTCAGATGAAGAAACTAAAACTATCTATAGTCATATGGGAAAAAAAATGCTCTAAATCGCTATTGATCGGAGAAATGCAAATCAAACAACTCTGGGGTACCACATCACACCTATCAGATTGTCTAATATGACAAAATAGGAAAAAGATAAATGTTGGAGATGTGGGAAATTGGAACATTAATGCATTGTTGGTGGAGTTGTGAAATGATCCAACCATTTTGGAGAGCAATTTGGAATTATGCCCAAAGGGCTATAAAAATGTGAATACCCTTTGACCCAGCAATAGCACTTCTAGGGCTATATCCCAAAGAGACCAAACAAATGGGAAAAGGACTCACATGTACAAAAATAGTTATAGCAGCTCTTTTTGTGGTGGCAAAGAATTGGAAATTGAGAGGCTGCCCATTAATTAGGGAATGTCTGAGCAAGTTGTGGTACGTGAATGTAATGGAATACTATTGTGCTATAAGAAATGATGAGCAGGCAGATTTCAGAAAAATCTGGAAAGACTTGTATAGACTGATGTTGAGTGAAGTGAGCAGAATCAGGGGAACATTGTACACAGTAACAGCCACGTTGTTCAATGACTAACTCTGATAGACTTAGCCCTTCTCAGCAATGCAAAGATCTAAGATATCTCCAAAAGTCTCATGATGGAAAATGCTATCCACATTGAGAGAAAGAACTGTGGAGGTGGAATGCAGATCAAAGCATATTATTTGTTCTTTTTTTCCTTCTGTTTTATTTTGTTTCTTCTTCCTTGTGGTTCCTCCTATTGGTTCTAAATCTTCTTTACAACATAACTAATGTGAAAATTTGTTTAATAGGAATGTTTATGTAGAGCCTATATCAAATTGCTCACTGTCTTAGGGAGGGAGATGAGGAGGGAGGGGGAGAAAATTTAAAACCCCAGAGTTGGGTCACCTGGGTGGTACAGTGGATAGAGCACTGGCCCTGAAGTCAGGAGGACCTCAGTTCAAATCTGGCTTCAGACCAAACACTTGACACTTACTAGCTGTGTGACCCTGGGCGAGTCATTTAACCCCAATAGCCTAAAAAATAAATTAAAAAATAATTGCTAAAACTCAAAAGCTTTAGTTTCTTCATCTGAAAACGAAACTCAAAAATGATGGAAGTGATTGTTTAAAACTAAAAATTAATTAAAATTTTAAAAAATAGCCTCTGTTTTAGAGATCTATATAATACAACATGAACCCAAGAGGTGCTGAGAAAATGCTAATTAAGGTCCGTGAAAGACAGACCAGAACTGCCAGCGATCAGAAAAGGTTTCATAAGAGGTCATATGTAAGATGTGAAGGAAGAAGAATCCCAACCTTTCTGAACCCATTTCCTTCCCTGTAAAATAGGAATAATGCCATTCAATGTACCTAACTCCCAGGATTATTTAGTGGCATAGATGCATGTGAAGTATATCACTTTTAAAAGT